TGGGGCTCTGAACAGGAAGCCGCCTTGCAAAGTATTAAAAAAGCTCTAACGTCGCAACCAGTTTTAAGACTCCCAGATTTCAATAAAAAATTCATCCTACAAACAGATGGTTCAGGCACAGGACTAGGAGCGCAATTAGCACAGGAACACGAAGGTAGTTTATTACCAGTAGCCTACGCGTCGAGACCACTAAGCAAACACGAAGTAAACAAATCCACAGTTGAATTAGAATGCCTAGCAGTCGTGTTCGGATTGACAAAATTCCAACAATACCTCGAACACAGGGAGTTTACACTTCAAACAGATTGTTCAGCATTAACTTGGCTTCTAAATCATCCACGACAAGTAGGTAAAATTGCGCGATGGATAACATTCATTAACTCTTTCCAATTTCATTCTGAGCACATAAAAGGCAGTGATAATCCAGTCGCCGACTGTCTATCTAGGTTATACGAGGACGCCGACACACAACCAACAGTAGTAACACTAAACGATGACACTAATACACATTCAGTAAACATTTTGATGAAAATTCCAGAAGCTTTCAAAAACATCGACGAACATCAAAGAGACGACCCCACGTTGATCAAAATTATTAGGGACCCACATAGAAACCAGGCATATACAGTAAAGGACGGAGTGTTAATGCATTTAGCACCCGGCCAAAAGACACCACGAATAGTACTCCCCACGAAACTAATTGACATGATTTTCACATACTACCATTTAGCACCTACATCAGCACACCTAGGAATCAAGAAAACTATACATAAAATAAATCAATTTTTTTGGTCACCAAATTTAAACAAAATAATAGCCGACAAAGTCAGAACATGTCTCTCTTGCCAAAGATCCAAACAAGCTCCGAACACCAGGGTAGGCGAATTATCATCCGATCTAGCAACAAAACCATTCCAAAAAGTGTACATTGACTACGTAGGCAAACTTCCTAGGACAAAGTCAGGCAACTCATACCTACTATCTGTGGTGGACGCATTTTCAAAGTTTGTAATTCTTTTACCAGCTAGAAACGCGACAGCTGCCACCACAACTACACTTCTCACAAAACACATATTCTCACACTACGGTTTCCCGCAATACTTAGTATCAGACAACGCACCATCTTTCAAATCAAAACAAATGAAGGAAATGTGTTTAAACTTCGGAATCAAACACATATTTACATCACCGTACAACCCAAGCGCAAACAACGTAGAGAGAGTCAACAAAAATCTCAAAGTTGCTATGAGAATATATCACAATTCCGACAACCAAACATGGGATCAAAACATTCATTGGTTTCAAATAGCATTCAATTCCGCTCAACATGAAAGCACCGGTTCGACACCTGCAAGCTTATTTTTGGGGAGAGAAATAAACCATCCACTACAATTAGCCTGGGATTTAAATAAATTAATTGGGGAAGAACCTCAACCAACCACAGACAATCGCTGGCAACATGCACTTGATAACCTACGGAAGGCAAGAGAAAAACGCACACAATATTATAACAGCGGTCGTCAACCCAATCCTTACAAAGTAGGCGATTGGGTAATGTATAAAATGCACCCACAGTCCAAAGCAATAGACAACGTCAATTATAAACTCCAATACGCCTGGTCAAAACCGTGCGTGATTGACAGTTTCTCATCACCAGTGTCAGTAAAGCTGGTAAACCCCTCAACAGGTAAGATTGTGACAAAAGCCCACATTTCACAATTGAAACGATTTTTTCAACCAATTTATTAAATAAACGTCGTCAGAGTGCACAATAGAACCTTAGCCTAGTTTAATTAGTTATAAGTGAACATCTAGCAAGAAATCTCGAGTAACTGACTACAACAATACTTCGCAACAATACTTCTCAACAATACGGTACACAATACAACTCCGGCCCCGGCTGATAGGGTGTTGGGAGTTGAGTCTAAGCCGTACCTTCACAGAGGGTGCGGCTACACCTCTCGATGCACCGCTTGGCCGGAAAGCCGGAAGCGACAACACGTGGCAAGTTGGCAGCGAAACACGTCATAGTGTTTGTACTTAATATATGCATTTCCAGACCCCAGTAATCAACAACTTTTTCAATCCCCTTAAAACTTACAATCTGAGCAAACGACTAATTTTTTTTAAGTAATTTTTTATTTTTAATTTGCTCAAATTGGCTATGACGGGAATCGTTCGCCATAACACATTCTTATGACAGATTGCAACTGTCATATGAATAGTGCAGCCGACAGTTTACTTATGACAACAAACACTCACTAAAAGTACTGGACTGAAAAATGACAACACTGGAACGATACAGACAACTGACTACAGACCAAGCTAGACTTAAACTATGGCAATTAGGCTAAGTAGAACTAAGTAGAATTAAGTAAAATTAAGTATTTCTGTGTTAATATAAGCAATTGAATCGCAAAGGTAAATACAACATTACATAAAAAGTATTAAGTAAGTAAAGTCATCCACGTATATTAAAATAAGATATATGGTATTTAGGCGTAATACAATCGTTATCAAAGTAGATAACAGCGCACACGACAATCCATATGTTTGTAAATAACAAGCAGAATTCTGAGCGTAGAAGAAGAGTTTATGTATTATATATTTGTAAAGGGTAATTTAAATGTTTATTATGTGTTATACACTTGCATGCGTTAAAATAAAATACAAAAATATAGATAAATATATTTATGTTGCTGAGCGACAGAGAAGGAAATGGACTAGTAGGAAACAGACAATAGCAAGCGCCAGGCACGAGATAACACCGTCGTTATCAGTACAAACATCTGTTCCATTCAAACCTCTACTTCCGCCCTATATAAATAATCAAACCAAGCACCGATCAATCCTTCACATTGAAGGAAAATATTAAAACAATATTTGTTTAAAAAATTAAATTGTGCTAAGCCGTCGGTGAAATAAATAATTATTATTTAATACCTCTGTGCATAATTCTTGATAATTGGCACTAGAGGAGCTTCGAATGAATGTACACTTACAATAACACTATCATTCCTTACATCAACCAACAGATTTTCGAAACTCCATTCAACCATGAATAGCATCCAAACTGAAAGAGTGTATAATGTGTGTCACACTAGTTAATTAATTTATTATTAGTAAATCAACAGAAACTTAGTAATATATCTCCCAGTCAATCAAATCCATAGCATTTAAGTAGATAAACATTAGATTTTTTCCCTTTTATACTCAGTAAATTAAATTCCTTTTTTTAAATTAAGTAGAACAATTTCTTATTATTAGTAAATTCATTTAGATCATAAGTATCAATAGTAAACTTAAGTAGAGTAGTCGCGATCAATTTTTACCGAATATTTAGGGAATATATCAGTGATAACTAACATCAAAATAATTAATCATCAATCAAAACAATCTCCAAATTCACATCTGAGTAAACGTATCATCAACCTCATATCAACTTCAAAACCCAACGCATTTCATCCACCATTAAGAGGCGTCCAGCGATATAATTAGCGCCCCGAATTTAGTAAGGGCTCAAGAGCTAATTACGAAATTACGTCACATCACATCACAACAGTATACCTTCAAGAACTTCAGAACACTACTCCAGCTTCATTCTTCAGTTTACACAACTTCATTCTTCCAAATACTCAACTTCAAGAAACTCATCAAACTTCAGCAACCTTCCAAATTTACCAGCAATTACCAGAATTCAATACAACCATCAAATTTCATCAACCCTCACTATTTCGACAACTTTCCCAAATTCATCATCATCAATCATATATCCAACTTCATCAACCAACAGATCTTTCTCAACCGAACTTAATTAAATCTATCACTGATATACGCCCGCCCACATTTTTTTAGAGCAGGTTTAGATTAAGCAATCCCACCAAACATAGTTATAAGAAATTCATTCAAAACCATAGTCACCTTTAGTTTAGAAAAAAAAAAAATAGTTAATAGTTTATAAGCAAGACCGACACACATTATAACCTCAAATGAGTCAAACCAAAAGGAGTGCAGAAAACTGTTGGAACATTCCCACACCGACACCGATGTCACAACGACACAATCTCACGGCGAGCACAAAAAAAAAAAAAAAAAAATTCTTCGTCCTTCATCTTTCCCAAACCCCAAAATCACCCCAAAACTAGGAAAAGAAAAAAAAAACAACCCCACCGGGGGGAGGATGTAGCGGACCGCTACAATAGCGCAAGTCACGTGACCACGATGCGCGCGCAGTCGACCCGGGTAGGCACGCGCAGCGAACCAAGAGACGAGTTCAGTGTAGTGTCGAGCGCCTGGAGCTGTACATCTGATCGGATAAGTAGACTGTAGCCTAAGATGTCTAGCTAATAGAAGTAGGGGTTGGGGAAAGGGTGTAGGTTGGGGCAAAAAGTAATTCAATCATGTAGTTTATTAGGTTCTCGAAGGGTCGTGGTCTGGCAATTAATATCGTAAATTAGAATTCACATTTGCTAAGTCTAGTAACCTTTTTCACGAATTAGAATAAGTCCATATATATATATTTCTCTGTTCATTATATTATAATTAGATACATTAAGAACATAAAAGCTGGCTGTGATAGGCAGCTAAGGTAATATTGTGCACTTTGACGAGTTAGATTAATTCGTTGCAATTGAGTTAGGTTACGACAGGAAATGTGCGTGATTTGGCAGTGGTTGGAGGAAGATATATAGGACCCAGGTATCTTCATTCACACTCATACTACACCATATCATCACAATAGGACAAGTAAACATAGTATTTATTTTTCTTAATTTTGCTTGAAACCAAATGCTGAATAATGCTTAAACCTCCCGCACACTGGAGAAGCAAATAAACAAAACGCTTCAAGCAAATCTTTGTGCAACATTTTGCTTCAGGTAAAACCCTGGATCAGTGTGCGCCCAGCCTTATGAAACATTGTAATTAAACTACATCAATTTAGCTTACGTTAAAAATAATTAGAGAAGTTTCCCCATGAGTTTTTACTATGAATGTTGCAGCCAAAGCCCAGGTACCCAGTTTCATGATGGAGAGTCCGTTCGACACCGGAGTTGCTCGTAGAGTGAAACGAGCTTACTCATCATTGGATGCTGTCAGTATACGCACAGGCGTGTTCCTCAGACGATACCCACTTGCTAGGATTATGGTCATACTTTATGTGGTAAGCGATGAAATTGTTTAAAAATCCTACAAATTTAGTATTTAAAATGTGCTTATACTTTTCCACTATACTCAATTCCACGATGAACATTGCAATACCGATCTTAAAGGAGTTGATTGATTACTTTGAACGAAGAAAAACAGATGATCTAATTCACCTAAGAAATAGATTTTAGGTAGTTGGTAGCAGACAACAAAATAACAACACATCAAACTTATTTCTGCTAATTTAGTTAAAAAAAAAAACTGTTCTATATATATATATATATATATAGCTCGTGCGCATCGCAGGAAAAATCTACGCATACTGTTAGAAAGATATTAGGTTGTATGTGTGCAGAATTCCTGTTTAAATTCAAATAGGCTCAAAAATAAGCTCGAAAATGAATTTTTTAATTAAAAAAAATTAACATAGGCCTATGGGTTGCCATGCTGGTAACGAATTAAGAACGAAATATAAACAGAAACTCAAAACAAATGGAAGAAATTGAAATCGCATGTTTAATTTAAAACTGTTCTACAATGTTCTAATGATGCTTCCTAGGATCAAATATAGGCTTTAATACTTTGTGAATTTGTTGTGAGCTGAATTGCTGCACAGAATTTTGTTTTTGAACTACTGAATTCTTTACGTAAAATTAGTAGCTGTGTATCTCTTCCTTCCTTCTTAATATATTTCTAATCCATGTTGATTTTTATGGGAAAAACTATCCTTGATGTACGAAGACTGGCTTTAAAAAAGTAAAACTTATTATTACCTGTAATGCTACAACTTCCTTGTACATGGTTGGTTGTAGAATATGAGTAAAATGGTACATATTCAACTCAAGATGTTAAAAGTGCATATACCCATTCTATGCCTAATTTTTGCTGTTTAGGTTTTACCACGTAGTTGAGGCGTTTTCTTAGTTGACTTTAACTCTGTACAGGTGCTGTTACATTCATTGGTTTTGGTGGTGCTGTGTTCTCGAACACCGGACAACGCTCAAAAGTGAATGTATTGTGATGTTATGGTAAGCAAATAAATGTTATTTTTCAAAAATGTACATCATTCAACCTTGCCACATTCCCAAAAAATTTAATTTGTTTAAAATCATTATAAATTTATCAAATCAATGTACCTATATGTAAGCAGGCAGCATGTTTACATATACAAAGTCTGTATTAGATCAACTGAAACTGTGATAGCTTAATAATTTGCACGTATTTTAATCACTTACAACAAATTCCTGGCCACTATTAGGCCTGAAGAAAACATTCTCTTCGACTAAGGTTATCCTATTCCTTAGTGGAAAATGCTGTCAGTGACCATGAAATATTCTAATTGATTGTGTGGTATTGTAAAGTTACGTGTATATTGTGCAAGTTTCGACTATTTCCCAAACAGATAAGCCTGATATCCTCCCACAAAATCATAAACACCTAGGCCCTTGTGTGCTATGCTACATCCTTAACAATTTATAGCTTCATATTTCCATACCATACTTTTTGAGGAAATAAGTTTGCCTAGTTGTGCCAGTAAAGAGTTTCAATGTGCTCTACAGAGGTTACTTGAACTGTATATTTATAATTAGTTTATTTTATTAGAGTAAATCAGCAGTCAAAGTTTTGTCTGTTGACCATTTCTTGATATCAGTCGTAAGATTCATTCTGTAATCAATGAGTTGTGGAACATTTATAATTTATGTTGCTGTGTAAAAATTGCCTTTCAAACTTTGTATGATGTTTATTCAGCCTAGACCAGTCTTGCACACAAGATGATCTTTTACAAGCGAATGACAAAGCCATATTGGTAGCTAATTTTTGAAAAGCAAAAAACATAAGGACAAGCAAAGTCTGATTTCCGGACAAGGAAAGTAAGTAAGTATTCACCTAATTTTTTTTTTTTTTTCAATGGACAAGATGAGATTTGCCCGGTTCCATTATTTTTTGCATTGTGGAAAGACTGATGGACACCAAATTGTTATAATAAACATTTTAACAATTAAGTTACCTTCTTTTTTTAATTACATGTTTTACTTCTAAATAAAAGGCCAGCTTAGTCAGTATGATTTAAAGAAAGGGAAAGTGAATTTAGCTTATTTACTAAAACGTGTTTTTTAAAGTAAAAAGGCATACTTTTTAAGTTTTAATTTACATACTGAAGGGTCAATTTTGTGAATGAACACAGACTGAATCAGGTACCATAGTAGAATAGGACTTGGGTTCACCTGATTAAAATAAATCAATGTTGTATTAAATCCATAGTTTAGTATATTTTTTTTACTAAAGTTGGTCAGTCATCATCATCCTCGTTACGTATAGTATTAAAATTAAAGATAAGTTGCTACCATCATGGCCAAGGTTTAAATGGTTAGCAACTAAAGAGGACATTGCCGGTATTAACAATAAAGTTCAGGAATTAGTTTATGAAAATGAAAATTTGAGGGAAGAAGTAGCTAACCTAAAGCGCCAGGGAAAAATTGCAAATGACAAGCTTACAGACCTTGAAGCACGATCAAGGCGAAATAACCTTATATTCAAGGGATTGCAGTGGAGAGGGAAAAATCCGGACTTTCGGGAGATAATCAGAGATTTTTGTAAAGATGTTTTGGGGATAGATAGGGTGTGGGTCAACAGGGCCCACCCTCTGGGAAAAGATAGCAAGGCACTCATAGCACATATTCCTGAAGATTCCGACATTACATACATCCTTAGCCAGACTAGGAGACTGAGTGGAACTGGGTACATTATACATAGGGACTTTCCTCGTGAGATTAGGGACAAACGGTCTTACCTTGTATCAGTGCGGGCTGAAATACAACGAGTGGTGGGTGACGACAAGGTGAAGATGCAGCTAGTTCATGATCATCTGTATGTGAAGGGACACAAGTTTACGTGGGAAGAGGGCTGTCTAAGATCTGGTCCAACCAATGGCGCAAACATCCTTAAAGAGTTTTTCGACACGATTTTTCCGACTTTATTGCCAAACTACCGAGCGAGAAGGCAAACAGGCGCAATGAAACTTCAACTGTGAGACAGACACCGACGCCATCTCAGACCTACGCAGGGGCAGCTTCCAAGGAGCCTTCGCGGATGGCAGAGAACAAGAAATCTTCCTCAGCTTCCTCGGGTCCATCCCAAGCAGACGACATCATCAAACCCCCACCTCAGGCCGAGGTGTGAGAGGGCTACGCCAATCCTCCACAAGACCAAAGGCAAGAAATTGATCTTTATCAGGGACTTTTTAGGGCTTTGGTTTATAATGTTTGTGGGCTCAAAAGCAAGGTTAGTGATACCAATTTTTTAAATGTTTTAAAAAGTTATGATTGTATATTTTTTTTTGGAAACCTTTATATCAGAGAGTGATGTAGTTTTTATTTCAGCTCAGCTGAAGAATTTCAATTTGTTTTTTAAGTTAGCCGTCAGGACCGGAAATGTAGGGAGGTATAGTGGTGGAGAGATTATAGCAATTAATAAATCATCTCCTTTTATTGACAGCTTGACTTGTGTCGAAGAACATAATTTTAACATTGTAAAAGTGAGTTTCATGAATACACAAAGCTTTCTTTATTTTTTGCCTCTTTATTTAAATTGTAACAACTGGGAACAAGACTTCGAAAATCTAGTTACATTACTTAATAGCAGTGAGAAAGAAAATTGGGTTTTATTAGGGGATTTAAATTGTAGGACAGGGGATGAACAGGGATTTTTAGACGGAGAAGTTAGCAATATAACAAAAAAACTCAGCGATTTTCGGAAATCAAAAGACAAAATCATTAACAGTAGAGGGCGCAAAATTTTAGAGTGTTTTGACAACACAGGTCTTATTATTTTGAATGGGAGATCTGAGAGCGATAAGGAAGGGGAATTTACTTTTATAGGGTCATTGGGTTCATCAGTCATTGATTACGCGGCGGTGTCAGTAAATTCTTTACATCTAATCAATGATTTCAAAGTAGTGCCGTACCCAGGCTCAGATCATCTTCCATGTGAAATTAGGTTAAATGTTGCAAGTCCTAGGGTCGCTGGAGGGGAGTGTGGTAAAATCTTACCTTTACTTCCTAAGCTAAAATGGACCGCCAGTGACACTTTAAACTATCATAAACGTACTAATTTAAATTTAGAGTTAGTTACAATTTCTGATGATAACCAAGAAAATATTAATCAGGTAATTAAGTGTGTTTACGAATCTGCTGAACAGAAACCAAACAGTGTTGCTAAAGGTAATAAAATAATAAACAGAAATCCTTGGTTTGACTTTCAATGTTTAGCTGAAAGGAAATAAATGTTTAGGCTTTTAAATTTATACAGGAAAACCAATTCAGAGGAAGTAAAAAAAAGCTATCTCACACAATTCAATAACTATAAAAAACTGTGTACTTGTAAAAAGAAATCTTACTACGATAAAATTATATCAGATCTAAATGATAGCAAAAGTGATAGCAAGTCATTCTGGCGGGCCATTAACACCTTCAAAAGAAAAAATGACAATATTGTGGGAGATATATCTGCAACTAATTGGTTAAATCATTTTAAGAATTTATTGAATCCACCACTTCTGACAGGGTCGATAAGTTATGCAGAACCGCTAATAGATAACGACCAGCTGGATAATCCTCTCACTTTCGGTGAATTGAGGAATGTTTTGAAATCAGTGAAATCCGATAAAGCACCTGGACCCGACAGAATACCTTATGAATTTTTCAAAAATGCCTCAGATGAATTTTTAAATATGTTACTAACGGTATACAATAACATTTTTATTAGTGAAACCGTACCAAAAACATTTAAAGAATCGATTATTTTTCCTTTACACAAAAAAGGCGATGTTAATTTAGCTGATAACTACCGAGGTTTGTCTTTTATTAATAGCATTACGAAAATATTCACGAGCCCTATAAATATTAGATTACAAACGTGGATGTGCGAGAATGAAGTACTAACATAATTTCAGGCAGGTTTCAGAAGAGGATACGCCACCATCGATAACATATTTAATCTGACATGTATAATTAATTTACGTCTATTACAAAAGGGACAAAAGCTTTATGCATTCTTTGTAGATTTTAGCTCGGCTTTCGACACAATTGATCGGAGAGCATTGCTTTTCAAATTGGCAAATTTAGGTGTCTCCACGCGAATGCGGAATGTTTTAAAGAGTTATTACAGTGAAACAAGTTCTAGTGTGTGGTGTGGAGGCGGAATAACTAGTTATTTTCAAACTAATACAGGTTTAAGACAAGGATGTAATCTGTCACCGACTTTATTCAGCCTATTTATAAATGATCTGCCAGAAGTGGTGGAAGGGGGGTGTAACATCAATGGGGTTAAAATAAATGTGCTACTTTATGCAGACGATATTATTCTCCTTTCCCCAACGAGCACTGGGCTGCAGCATATGATTAAAAAATTAGAAAACTATTGTGACACTTGGAATCTAACTGTCAATCTAAATAAATCTAAGATAATGGTGTTCAGAAAGGGTGGAAGACTAAAGGCAGGTGATAAGTGGAGGTATAAAGGAAACGTTATCGAGGTGGTAAATCAGTATAAGTATTTAGGGGTTACATTTACAAGCAACCTGTCATGGAACAGCCATTTTAAGGAAAAAGCCAGAGTAGGAAAATTTGTTATCAATTCTGTATGGAATTCTTTATTTAAAAACAATAAAGTGCCAATGATTTCCAAAATATCGTGTTTCGAGGCTGTTGTGCGATCGACAATCTGTTATGGAGCACAGACCTGGGGTTTCATAGAAAGTGAGATAATAGAATCAGTACAAACTTTTTTTCTAAAAAGAATATTTGCACTGCCTTATAATACGCCAAAATATGTATTGTACCTTGAAACATACTTCGATAAACTTTATTTTACACTATAAATTTAAATATTAACTATATTTTGAGATGTTTAACTTTGCCACCAAAAAGATTGCCAAACTTTTTAGCAAAACAAATAATCGAGAAAAAAACATCTTGGTGTAGAGAATGGGAGTATTTGGGACAAAAATGCAATATTGAGTTTAGTTTCCAAGATCTCGATCCAGAGGGGTTGGGCCTCCAGCTGAGGACGGTGGCGGAAGTGTTGCGTGGCAGGTGGAGGGAGGAGTGTGTAGGCCGAGCGCGGACCTCTGTCCACCACAGGCAATTACTGACGCTCGACCTTGAACTTGGCGATAGGAGCCCAATAATGCTCAACAATACGCATATCGCTTCTTGGGCTATTAAAGCTAGAGCAGAACTGATAAATCTAAACTACAAGCCGTGGTCTGAACAAAATTATCTTTGCACTCTCTGTAATCTTCAACAAAATGAAACTGCATATCATTTTATTGCAATTTGCCCTATTTTAAAACATATCAGACGTCTTTGGCTTGGAAAAAATACTTTAAACGAAACAGAATATGAGTGTTTTTTAAATGGGTGGAATTGGCGAGCTTTAGCCCAGTATTTAAGTAAGGCATGGAAATATAGGTGGGACATAATTAATGAGTTCAATTTATAGCTAAAATTTCTTTCTTTATTTATTTCTCTTCAATTATAATTAAAAATCATGAGACTCGCTTGGAACCATATTTTTAAACGAATTAATGTTGCTTTTATTTTATGTTTTTTACGAGCTGTATTACATAAATTTAAAAATAATTATAAATGTACTTTTTTATATAAGTATACCTAGTTAAATAGTTACTTACATGTTAAAGTTTTAAAATATGTTATTTTACAGCAAGGTGCCAACCAAACAGACGGTTTAAATAAACCATTGTTTTGTGTGTTTTGTTTTTTATTGTAAAAGATGTAAATAAGTTGTGAAGAATAAAGCACTTTTTTCTTTCTTTTTCTTTCTTTCTTTCTTTCTTTTCCATCATGGCCAAGCTTAGATGTTGTATAGGGTTTCTAAAATAAAAAAGCTGTGTAACAATTCAATCAATTTATTTATAGTACACATATATTACACATTATACAATAATGATAAGCAAGGCCTGACTTGATGGGTTCGTTGTATTTGAGACAGGGCTCTCAGCTTATTTTACTACTTATGATTGTTAGCTACCAACTAAACTTAATTGTCTTTTCAATGAGCTTCACCGACATTTGTTTATTAGTTCTGTGTCAAAACAGTCAAACCCTGTAGTTAAAAATGTGTACATTACCGTCACCCATCCTTTTCCTACTAGTTCAATATTTGTTTGAAACTTCTTTTTACTAGAAAATAACAATAAAAAAGTCTAAATGAAAGTATATTAGTTTCGTTACGGTACTTGACAGTAGCATATTTTTTGTTTTGGTAACTCTCCTGATTAAAAGTATTTCCCTGTTAGAATTGTATCATCCTGTATTAGAATGTTAAGTTAAGGGCTACTGTGTGTTTAAAAAAAAAATTTAACACAATGTTACCACAATTATACATGAATAAATTATATTATTGAGATAGAGTTTGAGCTTAAGTATTAAGTGATTAAACCCACCCAAATTAAAACTAAGTTTTTAACAAGTTTCTTTTAAATTGGACTAAATTTACAAATTAACACCACAACCTCCTTAATTCCAAATACTGTACTCTTTACGGTTTGCACTCTCCAAACATAATTTACATTTTAACTATCTTACTTCTAACTTTACCTAAATATATTACTAAAGAAAGCACATTACCACTCCACCAATTAAAGAGCTGGGAATAATTAACAACTATAAATTAATAAAACAAGACTGTTCACTGGTTTGGTAGTTCAAAATTCGTTAATAGTTTTGTAGCAATATTTTTTGGCCTTAATATTTTTTATCTTTCCTTTGATTTGGAATGAAAATTACTATTAAATACCATTTCCAATTTCATACTGAAATAGTTTTCTGTTTACCCTCTGTTTATAATAAATTCATAGTACTGTATTGCGAAAATTCATCTTTTTTTAAATTATTTAAACTACATTTAATAAATCAAACAAAACTTACTTTAAAAAACTAAATTAATAAACTAGTAGATAAGAAAATACCTCCAAGCAAAATTATGTTAAACCATTGACCACTGGATACTTAAGTAAAAGGTTAAACCTAAGCAAACAATAATGTTTCAGGAATACTAGAAGTAAGTGTTTCTTATTTTTGGCCAGAAGTTCTAAGGAATGTTAAAGTCAGGGTCAAAGGACAAGTCAGTTACCCGTAAGCAGGGTACAGTACTGTACTAACAGTTACGTGGCACCAATCTGCTGAAAAGACAGAAACTCACTAGATAATGTGTTAGATTGATTGTTTTGTTTGGCCACTCATTTCCCTCGAACCAAAACTGGTAATAGCAAGTGTGACAAGTAGGACTAAAGATAAGTTACGTATACAAATGTAATAATTTAGTTAGCAAAACGTTAATCTGGTACTGTATTATTATCAGGAATGTACTAATTGTATCTGGTTTTTCGGTAGATCTATTCCAGTAGGTTACATTGGCTTAATGTTGAGGAATAGGGCACATTTATATTGTTCTCTAGGGGCTTTCTAACCAAGCTAAGTCCCTGTTAACTCATAAATGCTATGAACAAGAAATAGTCGACAATTGTCAGAGCCATTATAACATTTTCAATATTTTGAGTTTAGTAAATTTATATAAAATTAGTTTTGAAACATTATACATTGATAAAGATATTACATGGTCTCTGTCTAATGTGCCTAATTCTTAGTACCACACTTCAGTATAGGAGGACAAATTTCTGATATAAGGAGTAAATTCAACTGTCTACTCAACATCAATCGTACCATGTTCAGGCCAGAACACAACAGCAATACGTTGGACATAGAGAATTGTCTCGATCCTTTCTTCTCTGTGTGTAATGAATTACATTTAATAAGGACACCTGTTTACAAAGACATTTTATTCCTTCAGAAATTATGTAGCATTGAAATCCAAACTGTAAAAAATTCAACTCCCCGTATCAATGAAAATATTATCTTACAGTTGCGGAATATATTACTAACTCAGTTGCACTTTTCAGATTACAAATTTAGGCTACAGTTTTTATGTATTATTGCATGATAAACTCAATATTAACCACTAAAATAAATATTTTACCCATGACAGTGTCACATGACTAGGAGTTTTATGCAAATAACTTAGTAAATGATGTGCGATACATCATGCAATACTTTGATTGTTGAATATGTCTGTTATAGTTACTGATAAAAAAAGAATAGATCCATTTTGGCAATGGAGGGTACAACAATTCTAAACAGTTAACATGAACTGAATTACTGAGTTAAATTTTCAAATGTCATTACTTTTCAAAATACACAGTTTCAGGAATAAAGATTATTTATTCAAACGAGATCCCATAAAACTAGTCATCTACACAAACTGTGATTTAGAAGTAACATAAAAATATTTGTTTATAATTCATATCACAGAATATCATATAGTAGGAAAGATGTATCGCACATCAATTATAAATATACATTTTGGGTTAGGTTCAGTTCTTTGCCGTGACAGGAGGTACATAGTCTGGAGACGAGAGGACAGTGGAGACGAAGGCACGGGTCTCTTGCTGTAGAAGGCTGAGGCGTTGCTGCAGAAGATGGTTACGACGCAGCAGAGCAAGAGTTCTAAGGGTCAGAGTGACCAGACTGTTGGGACGAGGCGACTGATCAGTGTCACTCAAGTCGCACTCTAGTGACGGAGACTGACAACAACACTCCTCCAGGACGAGCCCCATCTGTAACTGATAAGTCAAAGATAATAGATGTACAAAAGAAAAGAAAGGCTTCAAATAACAGTACTGTACTTCAATAAGTAATAAGTTCCATTAGAAGGTGTCGAACAATCTCCTTAGTGGACTGTCTTTCTCGTCATTATCCCAGACCTCTATTTTGTGTCGGCAATGTAATACTGAATCCGAAATTTATATTTTTAACTCTAGCCCAAAAATGTACAATTTAAGGTTTATCTTAGGAAGCATTGGATCCGATTCTGGTGTAGGGCCTATATTTGATCTTTAAATCGTATTGTATTAGAAATTTAGTTTGTGCTGTGTTTATATGAAATACTTAAATGATATATACTTTACCTCAAATAGTTAGTATAAATCTCATTCATCAAATTTTCATACTTAAATACTTTTCATTGAAATGGCAACCATACAAAGTAGGTATTTTAAGCCAAATATGAATGGAGATGAATGGCACGATCTTGTCTTGTTAGTGACTAAGGCCGACATATTCCTTAGACACAGCTGTTAACTAATAGCCCATACAGCTAATTGCAACTAAGGGACCTACACATAGTGTAATCCGAACCACATTTTTGCCTTGGTATTAATGAATAGGTCTAATTATCAGGATAGTAATGCGGATAGTCGTCGTACTCACTAGTGTGGACATTAATCCACACCAGGGAGCATTGCATCCACAGTGCATGCCTATAAATATCCACAATTCAAACCTTCTGGTAGCTGGATTACAAGACGACGCCACCGTCCCAGTCATAATATCCTGTACTCAGGTATTCTACATGATCAGATATCAAGAAGGCGGATAGAGTGGTATAATTGAATGAAAATGATACCGAGAGAACCCGTGTTTGGAATATGCCATGAAAATAAACCTGGAAAACACCATGTACTCAACTTACTTGGTGGCAGGTTTTTATGTGTCTGAGAAGCCTCTTTCTGTTTCCACCCTCTTGTTTCTGAAGGCTTCTTCTTTTTTCACCTGAAACAAGAAAGAAGAAATAATTTAGGATCCATTTCCTTACAGGAAAACTTTTATTTGCCCAAACAAGATGTTTAAAATCTCTAATCCTGTTTTGCTCAACCTCGTTACCATACATCTATTTCAAGCCAGTTTACAAAACATAATTAAAAGGTAATTTACCCTTAGCACTGTGTGTAACATATATCTATATCTATACATATATATATTAATAGGTAAGCATGTTTCTTTAAAACCTTTTTTCTCAGCTCGTGTGCATCGCAGGAAAAATCTACGCATACTGTTAGAAAGATATTAGGTTGTATGTGTGCAGAATTCCTGTTTAAATTAAAATAGGCTCAACAATAATAAGCTTAAAAATGAATTTTAAATTTTAAAAAATTAACATAGGCCTTATGCGTTGCCATGCTGGTAACGAATTATGAACGAAACATAAACAGAAACTCAAAACAAATGGAAGAAATTCAAATCACGTTTAATTTACAGTGTGTAGTGAAATAGAGAAGTCTGTATATTACATATTTTTGGTCCAGTTTTCGACCACTGGACGACCTCTGGTATTAATGGAATCAAACATCTGAACAAACAAGATCTTGATGCCTAAGGTTTACCTAAAATCCACTAGATTTTAAAATAAACGATCCTACTTCAAAGTACATTTTGATGTAAAATATATAACAAATAAAAATCAAATGGTAACACTAAATAGTTAATTTATCGTATAAATTCACAGTGCATAATATAATTGCATTATTACCTCATATTATGAGGTAAAAAGAATAAGAATATATATTATAATTTTAAACATTATTTTAGCTATAATAATCAAGCAATCATAAGGTTGACTCTAAAATTTATAAAACTGTTTTTATAAAAATTTCAAAAAGCCAAAAATATGTGATACAATTTAACGTGATTAGCCATGGAAGGAGTACATTTTGATGACTAATTAGTTTCAAAAGGTTTCATTAGGTTCAAAAGTTTCATGAAACACAATAAAACGAATTTTGAAAACCACAACTAAATCAATAACAGTTCCATACTTTTCATTACGAAAAATCAATACAAATTAATTGATATTCTCCAAATATGGCCATGCTGTGTGTGTGTGTGTTATTTGTAACCAAGGCATTGTTAATGTAATGTAATTTACTATCAGATTGAATGTAGTGTTGTAAAAGGATTGGTAACTTACGACTTCTCAGGCCCCTAACCTACCAGCTGGTGGCGGTGGGTAGGTCGTTACACAAAACCTACCCTACTGTAGTTCTCCTGCTCCAACCCATCCAACCCCTAGATTGATCCAACCCGACGCCACCCCCACCCCCCACCCCCAACGTCGGTCAAGGCGAAATGTCACAGTTTTGTGAGCAGCGGAAGTTATTGAAAATCGTTTTTCCTGCTTAGTAACGGACGTTGGAGAAAAGTTAAGTTTGTAAACATAAATGATTGTTTTCAGTTATCAGTTCTATACTAAAAATATACAGGGTTTGTAATATTTAATTGATGTTACCATATATTAAAACAATTATAAATCATAGCCTAATGACACAAATTTCGAGAGATAATAAATGCCGAAGAGAATTTGTGGATGAGAGTATTTTGATATTGCCCAGTTGAAAGGTAATATAAAATAAAATGTCCCCGATATAAAAGTGGTCACATTATTTTTACCTTCTCCCGCTCTACATGGTATGTATAATATGGAGAAAGTACGTAGTTCGTCAACATTTTCAAGTTAGTTTTGGATGAAAATGTCTAATCGGAGGTGCCTTTTCATTCTTTTTTCAATTTCCATTTTAATTATGAGTTTCCCACCTAATATAAAAAAAACTCAGATTTTCACAAAAACTGCTCTAATGGTTTTAATTTAAATTTAGTATGTTACAGTCCTTTTAATTCTTAAGAAACCGATACAACCAGTTGAATGAATAATTGTTCAAAAGTTATTGCAATTTTTGCGATTTCTCCCATGAAAACTAATTTTTTCTCAATCATAGCTTTTAAAAAACTTGTAATAAAATTAAGTGGTGGTATGGCCTCCCTTGAATTTTGGTGTGCAGATGTGTGCGTAACTATTTTAAACAGCCCGAAAAGTAGATTTTTTTTCTTTTCTGCGCCCTTCCCGTTGCGATTGCGAATCATGCCTAGTAACTAAATAATAGGGCCAAACGATCCAGAAAAATGTACAGCTGTGCTGATGCCCCCTATTTTTCGTCTCTTCAGGGATGAATAAAACTAAGGCACTCTTTCAGCCCCACAACGTTATATACCTCATTATAGAAGGGTATATAGAATGAATAACATTGTAACAGTCAACAGACAAGTATAATCGCAGCTTTTAAACTACATATTTTTTAGATACTCATAAGCCACGTGTCGTATGTAACCACATCTGGTACAGTCCCGTCACATGATACTTGAGACCGATCACCGAGAGCGTGTCGTTCGCGGATTAGCCGTTGCGGAAACTCTTTGTCACGGGTGAAGGACCGGTGAACGTCACGCACGGCTGACACGCGTGTGACCTTGACTGTACACGTGTCACCTCCCCTCACTACCACCCCTACAACGCCACCACCTGCCAGTGCCTGTACTACACGTGCAGAGGGTAATGACTGAAAATGTCACGTACACGTGCGGCGTGTTTGCGGAAAATTTGAAAAATTTAAATTTTGCGTGGTGGAGTGGGTTAGTCTAGCCACCGCAGTCGAAAAATTGTTAAGGACATTAATTAAAAGGTCTGAATATTAAAGAATTCTGGGTTAGATGGGAACAAAAGTATAGACGATTTGTGCTACACCGTATAAGATAGATTAAACATACGAGATTTAAAACATAGTATTTACATAGTATTTTTCTCGTACATAGTATTAATCAGATGAACATACCGGGTTGGGTAGAGGGTGATTTTTTGTTTCTTGTAATTTAATTTATTTTAAAACTATTGTAAATCGTCCTGTCTACTGGTTTTGTAAGCGAAAAGTAAAGCAAAAACAGTAAAATCCACTGTAAAATAAAAAGGAGACAATTTGTCGAGATCATACTCTATGAAACATTTATAAGGGACATCAGATTTTACTACCGGATTTATATACTTGTACAATTTACAGTCAATGATAAGACGTTGCTGACAGCACTACAGTACTGTAAGGCTATCTCAGCGAGCAAGGGGCTATCTATCCTTTTTCCAACACCTATTCTGACGTCGTTTACGTGGGGTGTACTAGTACTGTCTTAGCAAACGCCACTTAGACAAATGCCAAATGTCAAATGTGAAATGACAAATGTCAATGTTGGTCCTTTTTTAGAATCGTAGAAAATTATGCATACTTCAACTACTAACTGTAGAATTCACCCCAGAAAACAATATCTCTGTTTATATAATTCATTCAGTGGTTGTTCATAAAAAGACGCACATTAGTCGCGTTTAAGTTGAATCCCGAGGAATTAAATAGTTATCAACTGATACGATTTATAGTGTACTGTTTACAATACATTTTCAATCATCTGATTTGTATTTGTTTATGAATCGACCCGAAGTTATGGGTGTACTCTAAGCCCAATAGGCATACGGTATTTTTCTAGTAATCGTGAGGCATACGCAATTAATTGTGTGTCGATTTGTTCTTTATTATTACAGCATACATTCTACTCTTAGTCGTTTTCTCGTATTTGAATAATCGGTTAAGGAATTAATGGACTTAAGGTTATATTTTTTTCACTCTTAATACAGCATTTTTCCACGGTTTTTTTAAAGAAGCAGTCCGTATATTCCCCGAATTATCCGAACATCTAACATGGTTACCGGTACCAATTTACTGTTTACATGTACCTCTGACATTTACCAGTTATTGATTTAAAAACAACCGGTTTGGCCAAGGTTCGCTATCGTAATATAATCTGTTGCACTTTTACTAAATCTTGCAGCTTTCCAGTTGAACTTTGAGCTTTATCAACCTAGTTAGGACATAACAGTTTACGACGCAAGGACACCAAACACTAGAGCTGTATCCACGAGGCGATATCACCGTCCTTGTCCCACCCACGGCCAATACTATAGGCAAGGTCGGGAACGATAACACGTGTCGACGAATCTTTAGCACTTTCGTCATCACTTCTACAACTACAACACTGCAAACCTGTGTCGTAAGAAATTTGAAAACGTCTTCATTTCGCAATGCGTTTTCGTTTGATGCATTTATTTGTTATCCTCGTCTGAATTAAAAAATACTGTGGCATATTTTTAAAATTGCATAAGAGCAAATGGCGTTAGAAATTACACTAGATTGAAGGGGATTTCGTTACCTAGGTTAACTGAGAGTTCTAAAACCTCTTTATTGTTCAGTGGTTACATGTTGAAACGTTTTATTAACGGTAAGTGAAGAAATAATTTCATATTACAAGTTGGATTTTAAATGGGTCATGATTTCCGTGCATTGATTCCAAACTAGACATGCTATCTCAAACCTCAAACCTCAAGAGTAACCGTCGGTTTCGACTGGTTTCACCTAGTTATTTATTAACTCAATGCATCTTTATAAGTAAAGTGTATACATACATATTTGAGTTATGTCAAAATTAATTACAATAATTTTAATAACGATCAAAATTGTCTTAAGGTCAAAACAAAGATGGACAAACATTACATGGGTAAAAATACGGCAAATGCTGTAAACAAAAAACAAAAGTTACAAAAGTCAAATAAATTTATGTTATATGAAATTTATTAAAACTTAGCTTAAAAATGTACGAAGGTATAGACCTACCAATCTATGGTCTGCATCAGAAAAATACATACCGTATACATAGAGAAGTGTTGTACACTGACGATTGGATGTATGTCAAGGCCAACCCACTTAAATAATTCGTGTTGCATTACGATTTACAAGCAATTAATAATCCGAATCAAGTAAGCACAGCACAGCTCGTGATCTTCAAATTTTGACAATTCCGAGAAATGTGGTCTCAGTAAAACCATTAAAACGAATCTCTAACTTTCAAAAAAATAGTAAGTACGACGATTTACGTTAGGGAAACTGTTACATATGTTATTAGGATACACAATGTTCAGAACTAATTGTTTTTATGTTTGTTAAATTTAAATGTTTTTGTCCAGTTCAATGTTTACATTGTGAAATTATTAAATTGAGCTTATACAGTTCTTGTTAGCAATTAATTGTAGGCTATATAACACAAATCGGTTCTCAAACTTAGTTTCAAAAATGCCCATGCTTACCAATCATTTCAATCCGAACATACGTAAAACTTAGCTTAAAAATGTACGAAGGTATAGACCTACCAATCTATGGTCTGCATCAGAAAAATACATACCGTATACACAGAGAAGTAACATCCAACTTATGAACAAAAGTACAATATTACATGCATGGGCGTATACACGCCCAGTATGTAAATTTCAAATACATATCTAAAAACTGTTTAAACATATTAACGATTGGAGTCAAGGGCAATTGTAACGTGGAAGACTAATTCTCGTGAGCAATTAATTATTCAAAAACTGCACACAGCTTGCGCCATTAGAGGCAGACTAATGTTGCATTTTAGACATGTGGTATAGAGCTATTAAACTGCACGCGCGCGCACTTAAGTAGCATGTGAGTTGCAACACCTACCAATGAAAAAACAGATATCTATCTGTCTCATCGGGAAACCCAGTCGGTAAAGTGCATGCTCGGATATAAAGGCACTTTTTACTCATCAAAAGGACAAATGTGGGGTTTAAGTTCAATAGATACATGTTTTGTGGAGTATTGCTTACAGTGTCATTTGTAATTTATATAGTAAGTGTAAAGAGGCTCGAATAAAATTGAATAATTATGGTAAAACGTCTCATTTATGAAGCATCAATCAAGTAATTGATGTTATTGCTACTCTTAGTATGTTGTCATATTCCTTTGGATCTATTAACATCAAAAGTAGGGTTTTGTAAGTAAAGTAGGCTAAGTAGGTTTACACTTTTAAATCTGTTTATATTTTTTTATGAAAATCGGTTAGGTAGAAGAGCCGAACCGACTCGGAAAAGAAAAACCAATATTTTTAATATAGGCATATAGCTTTTTAAAATGTTCTTCGTCACACACATTATAAATTATCTTTTGGAGAATAGACTTAGTGACCCTTCAATAAAAAGTAACTAGTACATAAAATGACGAGAATCCAGCGCGAAGGAACAATGTTTTGGGACTTTGCGTGCAACGGTTTAACTAACGATGTACATACTCCAGGTGGTTACATCACCTGTAAATCAAACAATGAGAACACGGCACACTTCAGAACCATTATTGGCACGAGGTGTCCTCGATTTTATACGGAGAAGTTGCAATAGGCTGCTCCTTGCGCGCAAGTACTCCTCCGTACCCTGGGTCTATGCAATAAAGTAACTATGCTAGGAACGTACAGGTGAAGCATTTAGCTGTAGAGGATGTGGGCTTTATCCCTGGAAAAAATAATAGTGGCGTGGAAAAATGAATCAGCTTAACACATTTTTAACTAACAATTTCATCAAAATTACAATAAAACCTATACTTTGTATAAGTTCAATTTTTGTGGTTCAATTAGAAGCCTATTTAGTATTATAACATGCTGATAGCCTTGGCCATCGAGTGTTCCTTGCTCACCCGAATTATCCACAAAGTCTGGTTTTGTTCAAGAGATAAACAATCAACAACATAAACAATATGTGAGATAAACAATATGTTTGTAATATATTACAATTACAGTACCTATGTCTCTGTGGTATTTCTGAAGTAGATTTTACCTCTTTGTTTTGTTAGACCTGGGATCGTTTCAATAATAATACTAGGAAGTAAGAAGTAAACAACAATTATTTAGTAACTGCACATTATTACTGACTTATTTTTAGTGGCTGTCACTGTCAGTATATGCTTCTGTACCAATCAAACAATCATCGCCGTACTACAGAGCGTTCATCGGCGATTAAAGTCTAATATCAATCAAAAAGAATTGAACATTTTGTCTTAAATTTCCAAATACCCTTCTAAAATAGATATTTATAGCCTACTAAGCTGAGAATACATTGCGTTTACAGTTATTTGTCCATTTCATGTTTCAAATGCTTGATTTTTTGTTCCATTTTTTTAAAGTTGGCTGCAATACAAAAATGTGATTTTTAAGGGTATAAAACAGACTAAACAGAGTAAAACTCAGTTTAGTCTTGACAACATTCAGCTTTTCGTCGTTACAAACGGATTTGTTGATTCAACTGAATTTGCCACGCAAAACAAAACAATCGAAAAACAATGTGCAGTGAAAATTCGTTTAAGTCCACAAATAAAACTGAATTATATTTATCTCAATGTTTATTATTGTAAATATTAGATTTTGTCTGAAAAACTATAAACATTTATAAATCTTGACCTTAATGGTCATTACGTATCCTTTTTTTATAAAGGAATTTCCCATTTTCTAGAGAGAACACAAAAATATACAGTATCAACTTCTCTGCGATTGGCGTAACTTATCCAACTGTTTGATATTCAAAAGTAAATATCTACGGTGCCTTGAGTGTGGACTCTGTAAGCAAAGGAATCCCAAGATCCAAAACAAAACATTCCATTAGACATATCCAGTCTTTTATATTCCTCGTGTATATCATGGTGGAAGTAAATATTTACTTCCACCATGGTGTATATGACCAAGGTGCGCGGTGCGCAGTGCGCTGCATGAGCGAATTGCGCGTGCGGGTGCGTTGAACCGTCACCGTATATAGGTTCGCACGAGAGCGGAGAACGGACCAACGACCCGACGACGTTGTAAATAACATCAATGGCAGCCACCTCATTGTCCGGCGAACTGTTTCGTAATAATTGCTGGCCGAAATACTTCCCAGGGGGGGGGGTGATGACGTCACCTGCGCTACACGTGGCCACACGTGGAACTGTTGTTGCGAAAAACTGGCTCGTGCGTGCGTGAGGGGGGCGGAAGTGGGGGAACAGCTGATTGGGTAAACATTGCGCGAGATGCACTCTCCGATAACACCGGATGCGCATGGCACTCTGGGCGTCACTTCCCGAGCGTCAACCCTTTGTAGCGGTTATTTGCATAACTGTACACTTACACATTCGACATTTGACATTTCATCTTTGACTATTGGTAGAACTTGACATTCCACCCGTTAAAGTTGTCACCGCTACGTAGTTGAATTAGCCACTGGCAGATTGCGCTGATGTAAAGTACAGTGCTATTATCCGTAATTTTAAAACAAGTCATACTTATAAGATGACTTATTGTAGCTATCGCATCTTATAGTTAGAGGCATATATTATTTTGCAAGTATGAAGGGATAAGAATCAATTGTTCCCACAGTTACTTGCATTTCAAAAGCTTTTGAGGGGACTGCTGCAAATCTCTCGTAATCGTACAATGCACCCTTTGTGGTCGTGGTGTAGCGCAAAACAATGCAACATACCCTGCACAATGCAGCCCCTCAACCTCTTTTAATGAGGGCTTAAAAGCGTCTCTTTAAGATGGGGCTTAACATGACTGGGGGCAAAAAAAGTACTCTTGTATAAAAATTCGTGAGGTAAATGATTAGTCAACTATCGCAAAACGTAGTCTATACAATGTTCAGTATTCAGAAAAAAATTTAAGATATCGCTTGTAATTCTAAATTTGTGTTAAGTTAAGTTATTTTCCATTTTCCTCTTTTCATAGCCCCATTTCATCCTAGAGAGCATAAAATACTCTTATTCCTTCATATGACCTTGGAATTGGAACAAAAATTGTACAAATAGCAATTCACATAGTTTGCAGGTACCAGCACCAACACCATGGTATAGGGGCCATTGGAGAAAAGAGAATTTTGATACGCCAATAAAAATCCAACATTTCACCGAAAACGCATCATAAAAATTACTTCAACAGTTCTACATAAGTGTAATTAGTATAATTTGACTTACATAGTCGGTAGTTGAGGTTTGAGGTAGTGTCCAGATAGCCAAGTCGCTCTCCTACCTCTGCCATACACACTGTGGGAGCCATCTGTAAACAGATAACATTGTCATTCTACAGCCAAATATAATTTCTAGGTGCGAATGAGAATATTCCATTGTTATTGCTAATCCTAAACATCCATAGAATAGACGAAATGTGTCCATGGAGTTTGTACAAAAACTATAATATTTTTCATTCAGTGGTACATGTTCACTTGTATCCGATTTGGAAGCGAATTGTGTTGCAAAAGCATGTGACGATTTTGCAGATTGTGATTAGGAATACTCTTATAGTGGTAGGAAATTTTACTAACAACAATGGTATTTCCTGGTGTTATGGAGTAGGCCTATCTGTTGCAGAAATACCCGCCTTTTAAAAATTTTAGTGACCTGCAAATTGTTGTACAGTACATAATATTAAGTTGGTAAAATAAACTAAACTAATCCTAAACCAAATAAAAATGACAAATAAAGTGAGAAAAATAGGTAAAATCGAAATCACGATGTTTCACTGGAAATAAAGTTATATTTCTTAATGGAGACTCGAGATAATGTGGACCAGACTTTAGCCTAAAGACAGCTCGTGTATCATTCAGTTGATGCAACTACATTGTATGACTGTATGTAGTCATTGGTATAGGTATTGATATTGTTAGTAACACGTGTTATCGCGTTATGCAAACTCTCAGCCATTCTAGGAGTTGGTGCCAATGTCACATCACTACAGTGTAGTTCAACGCACCCACTACCTGCACGCGCTTACACAGTTACATCATGTACAGTACTATACAGGGTGTTTTTTTAAAAACTTGCATCTTTATTTATGTAAAAACCGCAATAGATAGAAATATGCAGTTTGCGGGAATCATCTATTGACGTAGGGGGACCAATTGTTTTGAATTCAACGTTACATTCACATTCCCCCCCTTTCCCCCCCTGCCCCCAACTTATTTTTTTTAAATAGCAAGGTACCCCTTGTGACATATCAAATAAAAGAGCATAAAAAAAGAAAATGTTTGATGAAAAAAAATTGAAAATCGGTTCATAAATTTGTGAGATATTCCCCCCTCACCCCCCCGGAACTTAATTTTTTTTTAATAGCAAAGTACCCCTTGTGACATATCAAATGAAAGAGCATGAAAAAAGAAAATTTTTGGTGAAAAAAATTTAAAATCGGCTCATGAATTTGTGAGATAATCACCCCCCTTTGCCCCTACCCATAACTTGTTTTTTAATAGCAAGGTACCCGCCCTTGTGACATATCAAATGAAAAATAAATTTCGCCAAAAGTTTTCTTTTTTCATGCTCTTTCATTTGATATGTCACAAGGGGTACTTTGCTATTAAAAAAAAATTAAGTTCTGGGGGGGTGAGGGGGGAAATATCTCACAAATTTATGAACCGATTTTCAATTTTTTTTCATCAAAAATTTTCTTTTTTCATGCTCTTTTATTTGATATGTCACAAGGGGTACCTTGCTATTTAAAAAAATTAAGTTGGGGGCAGGGGGGGAAAGGGGGGGAATGTGAATGTAACGTTGAATTCAAAACAATTGGTCCCCCTACGTCAATAGATGATTCCCGCAAACTGCATATTTCTATCTATTGCGGTTTTTACATAAATAAAGATGCAAGTTTTTAAAAAAACACCCTGTATACTGAGTATGCATAGTACAAGTCAATGGTTACGTATTCACAATAGTTTCTGATTAGTTTTTCACAATGCTGACACATTGAGTACAAGAAAGATTATTTCTGTGTAGGGAACGAACACTCCAATACATTCGCAAAAATATCCTTAACATGGCAAGTAATAAATGAGGATGAATAAGCGTTCAACTTTGACGATTATTTTCGAAAAATTAAAACCAAGGTAATAATCAAATTAAATAGGTTAATTTATTCCCTAAATGATTCACAAAATTTTTCTCAGCCCAGTCACAGTCGGAATATTTTGCTTACACTTTAAAGTTTCATATAGATGGCATTGGTGGTTTAAAGGGGGAGGGCTACAAGGTTACGCCCCTCATTGGATTCTGGAAAAATAAATTAAAACATTAATTTCGTCGTGAAAATCATCATAGTTCGATTAAAAAGTTTCAATCTGCTTGCTCATATTCATATTGTTGCGGGCTTGGCAGGTTCTTTACAAATAAAACTTGGCGATTTTATAATAACTATTTATTTACACTAATTATTCTATATTTACAGATATTACAATTTCCTAACACCTAACTAATCCTATCTAAACCTAGCTAAAGCCTACTCTAATTTACAATGATTCTACTTACAGCTAACCTTTACAGGATTTATCACCACTTCTGTTACAGCACTGTCACTACACTGTCACTAGTGTCACTACACTGTCTCTACACCGTCACTACACTGTCACTGCCACTAGCACTAGCACTGGTCACTAACACCGACACGCGCTTGCTGCGACGATTCTCGGAAGGCTCAACACAACTCAACTGCCGTGTGCCGGAAGACGGTCCCTTATATAAGTTTGCCGTGGAACATTCTGGAGACCCCTGGTAGCCTAGACAAAGGTGTTTACGCCGTAGAAGTGTAGAAGGTTCTAGGGCCCCTATTGAGGTAGTCCGTTGACATGGGCCTATTGTCTATCAGTGGTGCGCTAGGAAAAACCCGTGTAAACAAACAACCCTTTTGAGACGGCGCCTGGCTATTGTTGCGCGGGGCTCCTGACTTGTAACACTACCCCCTCCTTAAGACTGTTCTGTCCCAGAACAGATTTCCCCTGAAGCTTGCGATCTTCTGGTCCACCGGAGGTTCCCCATGGGTTGTATACGCAGACCACAATTTCGATGCCAGTGTCCTTAAAAAGTTCCTGCACCATATTTCTCACAATCCTCCATTCCAGTCCGTCATAACCACATCCCAGCCTGGGAATAGCAAGCTTTTTGATTCCAATCCGAAGAAGCTTGTCTCGCAGGTCTTGTAGGCTTTTCTTCAACGATTCGTAGGAGGGCTTCTTACTTGACGTTTCCTTCGTAACGAGGTAGAACAAATGCTGGCCATTGCGCTTCAGGTGAAGAGTCGTGCCAATGGTGGGGCTCTGCCGCTCAAGATCTTCGGTCCCTCCAAACTTTTTCCTGAAGACTGTGGCTATACCTCGCGACGCTCTCAGGTCTTCTGCTACGCAGTGTGCCAAGGCATATTCCACTGGCAAGGTGAAGAGGTCCTTGTATAACGGCCTCGGTTCTTCATTTCCACGTTTCTCAGGCACGGCGTCTTTTGGCTCGGTCGACAGGTTACGAACTTGTTGTTCCTCTCTTTGGCCATAATCTCCTTTGTAGCGTGCAAGCCTGTTGAAATGGACTATCTTTGGTTTGCCGTTTGGTTGCCTCTTAATCCGGTAGATGACGTCATTTAAACGGGCAATAACTTCATAAGGTCCTTCCCACGAGTTCTGGAGTTTTGGCGAATATCCACGACGCCTTTGGGGATTGTGTAGCCACACTAGGTCTCCAGGTGTGAACCCTCCTTTCTCGGCCTTCACGTCGTACCTCTCCTTCATCCTGTCGCTTGCTCCAGATATGTTGCGACGGAATTTCTCGTGTATCTCGTCCATCCTCTTCCGCAGATTGGATACGTAGTCCTCGCCAACCACACATTCATCTGGCTTCAAACCATACTGCAGGTCGCATGGAAGACGAAGCTCTCGGCCGAAAACTACGTTGGCTGGAGTCTGGCCGGTGGTTTCGTTGACCGAACTCCTATACGCAAGTAGGAACAGGTGCAGGTATTGGTCCCAGTCCCGCTGATGATCGGAGACAACTTTTGACAGGTATCTTCCCATCGTCCTGTTCATGCGTTCTACCATGCCATCTGACTGTGGATGAAGAGGTGTTGTTCGAGTTTTCCGGATACCAAGAACTTCACACATTCTAGAGAATACCGCTGACTCAAAATTTCTTCCTTGGTCAGAATGAAGTTCGAGCGGGACGCCAAATCTGCTCACCATTTCCTTGATTAATATATCTGCAACTGTTACCGCTTCCTGGTTAGGCAATGCATAGGCCTCTACCCATTTGCTGAAGTAATCCATTGCAACCAAAATAAATCTATTTCCAGAATCAGACATGGGGAACGGTCCTGCTACGTCAATGGCGATGCGCTCAAACGGGGCACCTACGTTGTATTTCCTCATTGGGGCTTTTCGTTTGTTGACAGGGCCATTTGATGCTGCGCAGGTCGCACACCTTCTGCACCAGTCTATGACGTCGTCTTTCTGATTAGCCCAGTAGAAGCGCTCCCTTACTTTCACCAGTGTACGATGTACCCCTAGATGGCCTCCAGAAATTCCATCGTGCACTTCCCTTAGCACTTCAGGAACCCTCTTCCTTGGAATTATTAGTTGGAGTTTTCGGTGCTCCCCTTCCTCCGATTCGACGACTCGCTTCAAAACTCCTTCTTCCATTAAAATCGAGTTCCACTGTGCCCAGTAGGTCTTGACGTTCTTAGACAATGGAGCAATATCCTGCCACGACGGTCTTCCTTTGTTGTCCATCTTCCACTGCATGACGTGTCTTAGGTCTGGGTCTTCCTTCTGGTCCTCAGACAGTTTCTTACTGTCCCATTCGTCGTCAACGGCGGTCACGCGATGAACTGATGCACTTTTGTCTTCCTTGCGTGTGCAGTGCACGCAGTTGTCCCCGCACGGTCTTCTAGATAGTGCATCTGCATTCCTGTGGCTCGGTCCCGCACGATGGATTGATTCGAAGTCATATTCTTGTAACCTTTCTAACCATCTTGCAACCTGTCCTTCTGGAGACTTAAATCTTAGCAACCACATGAGTGCGGCATGGTCCGTTCTCAAGAGAAACCTCCTTCCATACAGGTACTTATGAAAGTGTTCTATAGACTTAACCACTGCGAGAAGCTCCCTCCTGGTGACACAGTAATTACGCTCAGGCGCTGACAGGACCTTACTGAAGTATCCGATCACATGTTCTTCTCCATCTTGAAGCTGAGAAAGGACTCCTCCAATGGCTGTATTGCTGGCGTCCGTGTCTAGTATGAACTTTCCG